AGGGAAAGAAATTTAAACCGTAGGGAATTTTTGCCCAGAAATCCTTGTTTCGATTTCCCGTTGAATTTATGTGTATATGTCATAAGCATATTTTTTTACTACAAAAACAATTTTATTCAAGTTTATTTACATTCTGTTTTAATGCATTTAGAAACGTTATTAACAACGGGACCGAATACCCGTGCACAAAGCAGGGAAATAACGGGTTTAATTTGTTAATTTTGTGTCAAATTACACGCCATTTGTGACACATAATATGTTAATAATTCTACAATGTCTCGTATTTACTAATTACAGCCATATTTCCTTTTGTTTTGATGTAACCTAGCAACAGACTGCTGAAGTTTTGCGTCACCAGAAATATCTTCTCGCAGTTTTGTGTGCTGTTAAAGTTTCTTTTGTACTTGAACGTGTCCCACTTTAGCCTTTAGATTTAATGAGGCTATTATATGTTAGCTGTAAAGTGTTAGTTTGTGAGGATTAAAAAAGTAGCGATTGAAACTTATTTGTAAAAAAAATATATCGTTTTAGTCCCCACAATACAACATTTCGCTTTATAAGGCGCGGTACTCTCTGTATTTGATGTTCTGTTATGAATTATAATTGTAATGAGAGGTTAATGGAGACGGTGATTACATTTTGAAGATGGCTGTCTTCTGGGTTGTTGGCCCGTGTAGTCAGAGGTACTACTTCAATCGTCACCCACATGAATGAAGCATAAAGCACCTCTGAAACGTCTGTCAACAACCCAGAAGACAGCCATCTCTCGACTCACCGCCGTGAAGACCTCAAATCCTACATGATTACATTTTATTAAGAAAATATAAGAATCAAGGGGGAAGATTTATAAGAAGCTTTGTAGAGTAAGATCTCTAAGTAAAGTATTAGGAACTAATTTTTTTACTTAAACTGATAAATTGCTTACAATGTGAAGGCATAATCGTCTATTATAAAAATTCTTATGAATTAGTTTTCGATAGTTAAGTTCTGTTAGCCTGGTATTATTTAGAATTTTATATTATAAATTATTTTGTTATTAAAATATTATTTTAGCGTTCGTTTCGTTAGCAGTGCTAATGTTTTGGTAGAGCCAGTAACTAGACCTTTACAGGTAGGATGTTAAAAGTAAATAAATATATTAAAATGTAATTCTTGTACAAAATATTATCTTGCTCCTACATAGCAGGCTAAAAGAGTCTATTACACGGGGATTGACATGCTTCTGATTTTATTTTTGTTCTGAAAGACGTGATTATCCGCCACAGTGGTCTAGCGGTTAGAACGCTGGCCTTGTAATCCTGGGGTCTCGGGTTCGATTCCCGGCGGTGCCCGAATTTATAACTTGTGTTGGGCAAGGCCGTGGTCTAGGCAACACGGAGTTTTCCTCCGGGGGCTTCCCCGGTTTCTCCGTGGCATCCCAACAATTACTCCATTCACACACAGAAGAAGGCAACGGCAAACCACTTCTGGATCATCTGCCAAAA